TATCAGGATTATGGTGTGGCTAACCACACCCATAGGTTATAAATCTCCAACGCGCGGTCCGAGAATTCATTCCCTGAAGAAGTCCGCTAGTTTGAGGACGAAACGTCGGGAAAACTTTCTAAGAAGTACAGATGATGGGTGAGAAACCTTCCTTTGCTTTGTACTGTGTATTTGTAATAAAGAGCCCTGTGAGTCACTATCTGATGCTTCGGACTGGGCGTGAGTGAGGTTGGTTCTTCTTTTTCGCTTTTCGATCTGATAAAGCTGAAAGATGTGAAAAGTTTGGAAGTATAACAGCATCTGTTTCATCCAACCCCTTTTAAAAAACGTACATTTCTGTTGTTTTGTTCTGTTAAATTGTTTGTACGTTCTTGGTGTGTACTTTTTGTTGATTTGTTTTATTTATTAATATTTATTTTTTAATAAATGTACAAATCTGTACAAAATTGACAAGAACACCTTGCAATCAATGAATAAAATCCATGACCATTGTTTGTATACATTAGTTATACATAGTGTGCATTGTTCCTTCTATTTGGCAGCTGGCTCAGCATCCTCATAAGACATCACCTACAGTCTGTTTTAGTCCTCTGCACTTATTACTCAGAGTTTAAAGTTATTTTACTGTATTTAACCCTGTTCAAGTTAAAATACGTGAGTTGAATAAAAACGGTGCCCATGTGGTAGAAAGTTACCAACGTCCATCTATGTATAGTCTATGATTTTTACCCAAACCTTCCTCTTTGGTATCTTTCACTTCCAGAATCCAACATCAAGGTTCATATCCACACAATCTCAGATCTCACACAATGTTAATAATGAAAGCAATAAAATAGGCATTTTTTTATCTTTATAGTTTCCTCGTGTTCTCAGCATATGAAATCTTCTCTCAAACTGCATATTTTATTTTCCAGTTTCTTTTGAGAGTGGTTCATAAATCCCAGGGTACACACACACACACACACACACACACACTGGTGAATCTCTTTCAAATAATAAAGATACCGGTCCACAGCTCAGTCCAATCTAAACAGCCTCCGGACATCACAATCACAAACCTGCACTGATAAGACTCCACTGATCACTCCCTTCTCTCTTTTCTGGACCAAAACAAACTATCACGTCATGTTCTCTTAAAGGTCAGAGCTTTTTATCTTTGCCATTTTGAAACACACTCAACTGCACAGTTTCCTCCCAGCCTCTAATCCACAAACTTTCTGAAATCATAAATATTAAGATTAAGACATCCCGTATTCGTCCCATGGTCGGGAAATGCCAGTGTTGCATCACAAGTTACAGAACGGTAGGAATGAGCAGCACACAACACACAAAATGAGTGAATATTAAAGGTCCCATATTTGACTGGGAGTTTGTCGGCTTTGGTTGGGATTAAAGGGGATGTATGTTTGTGTGAAGTCAACCATAGAGAGATTTTAAAGGCATAGGTCTGATTGATAGTGTTCATCTCTGACATCTGTAGATCAGTATTATACATCTACTACATTAAAGGTCCCATGTTTCACTCTTCTTAATTTTTCACAGTCAATCCTAAGCACGTGATAATAATAATAATGTGAATGAAACACCATAAAACACTCAAAACTTGTGAAATTATAGCCATTTCCTGCCGAGAGATGATGCCGACTCAATTGAAACGTCTGGTTGTCTGGTTCTCTGCAGTGAGCCCGCTTCCCCCCACCCGCGCAGTGACGTAGCCGCATGCTAGCTATGAAGTAAACAAAGCACCGTGAATGCTAATTGTTCAGCTTTTGTCGGTAAATAGTCCTTTCAAACCTGAGAATGAACCTCTTTTACTTTGGGCATTTGTATCAAGGTCAAATAGCACTGTAATGATGTTTAAAGCATAGAAAAGTCAAAAAAGTGTTATATGGGACCTTTAAGAATAGCATAACTCTTTATAAATAAATCTCTATGTTGAGCTAAAGTACAAAAATCTGTGTATTACTAAACATATAAGTATTACTAACTACCCCATCCTCTTTAGTCACCGTCAACAATCTGACAATATTCACATGATACAATTTTTTGTACTTCTTTCTCCATTTTCAGATTCCCTTTTGGATTCCTTTTCCTCTGGCTAAAGACGCTCTCAGCCTCACCATCCTCCCCCCAGTAAGCTCTCATTCATTCATTCATTCAGCTCTTAAAGCACGAGTGGACTTTTCCTTTCATTGAAATACTGTCTATAATTTCTCAACCAAGGACACAACAACAACATTCTTGCCTCTTCTATCTTATATCTCACCAAAGTAAAAAGAAAACATATTCCTTAGCAGTACTATACACCTATTCCATGATCTAAGACTGGATCACATCTGGCCTGATCTCCAAAACACCTGAGTCTAACTAACTAACACCTTCTAATGAAAGTCCGGATTTAGAATTACCGTGGCTTCTCAGAGTCTTTGAGAACACAGTGCTGATGTTAGAAAAGCCTGTTACCCCCCGCTGAGCTGTCAGAACTGATCCATGTTTTTAAATACAGCGGTGTGCGGAGGTGGAATGACGACATTTTTAGATCTGTATTACAGTAAGAAACACCTGTAGATTTAAGCAACCGAAAAGGGAAAAACTTCAAGACATCCCAGTTGTGATTACTAAAGGTTTTTGAGTATTTGAGTTTTAAGATTGACTTTGTTTGGTTTTGCCTTGTCTCTGGTTTCTTGACAAATCTTTAAATCTAAAGCTTGGGGTACCTAACTTTTTATGTAATGAGTAATACATTTAAAGTGACTCTCCAAAGTATTAGTACAGCTTGAACTTTTGTACGTACATGTTGCCAGGTTTGCATCCATAAACCAAGATTTTATTCAGATTCTTTTACTGAATTTAGGGCTATTATGCTTGAAAACATGCCAAAATGTGCATAAGTTCAAGAATGTACTAATACTTTTGAGAGGCACTGTTCATTTAGTTTGTCCCAATAACATTTTTTTGGTAAAAGTTAAAAATATCTGGACAAATCAGACTATGTAAAACAAGTTGTGAGTTAGTACTTATTCAGGATTTTGGCTGAGAGCTGATTGGCTGAGTAAGGATGGTCCTCTCTTGTCAAATTTTTAGTCTGAAATTTTTGATCTAAAGATAGAGACAGAGCCCAAAAAGTCAAGTGATAAGACCAAACTGTTTTCAGACCAAAACATCTAGTAAAATGTATCTTGTTACACAGTCAATGCAGTCAATGACTTTGATTATAACATATATTCAGTCTGATTACCTAACACCACTGGCCCGACCAAAAACAGCATGACCTTATTAGGACAGATGCCTCCTCTCTATCTTTACTTAGCAGCTGACATACAAAAAACTGAAAATGGTCCAATTTGGAATCCTAAATCACGGATGGTTGTGTGATGGTGGTATGAGCTGTTGTTTGATTTCCATTAGCCGCTTTTTCCTGCGTCGCTGTCATTGTTGAATCGTGAAATCGAGTTTATGACAGGCTGTTTATCTTCTTTGTGTACACAGGCAGGTGAGCTGATGGAAGCGCCGAGTGGTTCTCAAACAGAGGGGTGGGAACTGGCACCTGGAAGTTTGGCGGCTTTGGGTTGGGATTAAAGGCGACGTACGTTTGTGTGGAATAAACCAGAGATTTTAAAGGAATAGGGCTACTGTCTGATTGATAGGGTTCATCTCTGACATCTGTAGATCAGTATTATACATAAAGTACATTTGAAGTATTTAGTATTTAGTACTTAGCTTTTGTTACCCCCCAGTGGTCTCACATCACCCCGGTCCTGTCCTCACTTCATTGGCTCCCAATTAAATTATGTATCGATTTTAAAAATTTTGTTTTAACTTTCAGAGCCTTAAATGATCAGGCTCCATCTTACATCTCGGACCTCTTGACCCCATACTGTTCTGGCCGCACTCTTAGGTCCACAGGCCAGAATTTACTTGCGGCCCCAAAGACCCGCTATAAGACCCGGGGGGACCAGTCCTTCCAGTCCGTAGCCCGCAGACTGTGGAACGCTTTGCCTCTGTCCCTCCGTGTGGTCAACTCTGCCGATGCTTTTAAAAAGGGACCAAAGACACTTCTTTTTAGGGCAGCTTTTGGTTAATTTCTTGTTTTTATGTTTTTTCTATTTTTGTCTTATTTCTATTGTATATACAGTACATATCTGCTTTTACCTTGTACAGCACTTTGTGATTTTTATCTGTGAAAGGTGCTCTGTAAATAATATTTACTTACTTACTTGTTGCGCTTTTCCCCTTTTCGCAACATGGGCCATAATATCAGACTTTTGATGTTTGTGATTAGTGTATTTTTTGCTGTTTGCTTGAGCAAAATCGGTCATATCCGTTTCAGTTTCAGAAAAGAATAAAGTAATTCCGGCTTAGTAGTTAGCACACTCCCCTCTCTGCAAAAAGAATCAACAATTTATGAGAGATATCTACATTCCTACCCTCACCTATGGATGAAATTGCGGATACAAGATAGGCTGGGTGAGGAGCTCAGTCACATGGGAGGAGCTCGGACTAGAGCCAATGCTTTTCCACGTCGAGAGAAGGCAGTTGAGGCGGCTCGGGCGGCATCTGTTCCGGATGCCTCCTGGACGGCTCCCTGGGGAGGTGTTCTCTGCCGGCTGAGGAGCACCTCGGGATTCCCTCAGATGAGCTGGAGGAGGTGTGTGTGGAGAGGATGTCTTTGCTTAGACTGCTACCTCCGCAACCCGGCAACGGATAAAGCGGGAGAAAATGGATGGATGGACATATCGCAGTGCAGGTTATCAATAAGTGCCTAGCGTTATGAGATTATGAAGTTTATATACATCTCTTTAGTGCATTGTGACGTTTGTTATGCATAGACCAAAGACGACCCAAAATGATCCAAAGTCAGAGTGGTCGAGAGGTTTGGGTTAGGGTCAGTACGACTCACAAAGTGCAGTGGAAACACATGCAAACTGTGCTGACCCGATCTGTGCCAATGGAAAAAAGACATGATTAACGATGCACAATGCCAATACTATGGATTTGTTGTTGATTTGTCAGCCAAACGGTCGTTAAAACAGATGTTATATCGTTTAAAAAGAGAGAATTACGTTTTGACTTTCAATTAGATTAGGTCTGACCCTTGCAGATCCGTTTTAACGATAAACTCAATAACAACGTTTTTTTGACGCAAGACACGACACAGGATTCAGAAAACAGACTAGATTTGGACAGAATTTATCACTAAAAAGTCAAACAGGGGTTTTTGTGCTGTCGTAATGTTAAACCTCTTATTGTACCCAACCTTATCAAGAAGCCAGAGAAACATATGAAGACTTTTAGAGATATACAGTATATAACGTTGGAGCGATGTCTGTTTGAGTCGGCTCACGGTCAAGGGGTCGAAACTAATCCAACATAAAAGCACCAAAAATCATTCGTCTCTAAGTGAATTAACATCGTTTAGAACCAGAGCAGTTTGACCCATCACGGATCAATAACAGATCAATACTATCAACACAAGTGCTCTGTTAATTATTAGAGGATCCTTTGACTGTTTTATACTGCAATTTAAGTTGTTTAACTGCAAATCTCTCCATCTGACTTTTCAGATGGAGAGACGTTTTTAGTACGTAAGCTCCAGTTAGACCCGCCCCGACAGGTTCCTGATTGGATGCAATGCAATTCAAATCTTTGATAGACAGCTGAGGTCAATGGGACAAGTGAAAGTATCTTGTTTTAAAATGATACAAGAAGAAAAAGAAAAAAATGTCCTTGCTGTGGGATGAATAAAGGATCTCCTAATCTTAATCTTAAATGGCTTTGTTCCATTGGCAAATTTGCGTTTCCACCGCAAGAACTTCTGGGTAATTTTCCAGGGCCAGCCCCGTTGGTGCGTGTCTCCACTGCAGGAACTTCCCCCACAGGGCCATTTACGGGGCCCAACGGAGTACCTCTTCCAGGAACTCCGTTGGGTCCTGGTGGGACTTGAGGTTAACCCGGCGCTGACTGGCTAAAGCTAGCGCAGGCTCTGACGCCAGCAGAAAGAGGCAAAACAACCAGCATTAGCCTGGCAGCATTAGCCCAGCAACATTAGCCTTGCAGACACCAGAAACAGCGAACAGCACGGCAGGATTCAAACGGAGTTTAAGACATTGCGGCAAAATTATAAGATATATTTAGACATATCAGCTTGACCTCGAAGCACTGGGGATTCATCACACTCCAAAACAAGCTGTGAAAAGTTTTAAAAAACTGAAGCCGGACAATAAAACACTCAAAGTCCACAACAACCAGAGCGGTTACAACTGTTAAATAAACAAATTGGTTTGCCGTAATGAGAATCACTTTTGAGGGAATCGAAACTCAGTGACATCGCCGAGTGGTCCCACTCTGCAGTGGAGACCACCCCGCTCCTTTTACCAAACTCCTGCGGTGGAAACCTGGCTTTAGATTTAACATAGTAAGAATGTATTCGATTAGTATATTTAAAAAAACACTCACTTCAAGAAATTATTACCTCATATTTTATCAATTTTTGCAGTGTGGGAATGAAGCTTAAACCTCTGTGATTTCAACACACAATAGAGACTTTTTAACTTCGGTGATAACATTGGTTCATGGGCAAAAATCCAAATCAATAACATCCACAAAAACACATGCATAATTGAAGGTATTTGGGCAGACGGAGTGGCCAGCTCCTGTCATTCAGCTCTGGTCATGAGTGTAATCTGACTTTGTGTTTTCCCCTCTCTCTCGTTCTCTCTTGCTCTCTCTCTCTCTCTCTCTCGGTACATCACAGTTGAGACGGAGCCTTGAGGCCACATGCCACAGAAGCCATTTTGCTGATGAAAAAATGAAAGACGGCAAAATAAGGCGTCGTTCCTTCATTCAATTATTTGCATCATTTATCGCTGATGAATAAACTAGCTTGTACAATTTGTAGACGTGATTCATCTGTGGTTTGTACACTGCTTTTTGGTGCATAAATGATTTCTTTTAACACCAACAGTAATAGTGATGTTTAAAATCGCTTGAATAAGACACATTTTAGTAGCTTTCTCTTTTCAATATTTGTATCTCTTGCCAGCTTTTTGTCATTTCCACTGTGAAATTGCTCATCTTATTCATATTTCATATCAAGTAAGACCTTGCTATGATGTGCTCATTGGTAAATTTTAAAGCTGGGGTACCTGGCTTTCAGACAACAACAAAATTAACTTCATAAATCTGTAACACTGTAGTTCCTCGCTCTCAAAACAGTTTGGTTCTAATTGTCACAAGCAGGTATTTTAATCCTCAGTTTCATCTTTAAACAGAGAAGTGGAAAAGAGAGGACCGCCCTCAATCAGCCAATCAGCTCGCAGCTCGCAGCCCACAGCCTCAAAGAGTGACTCACAGGGCTCTTTTGTACATTATGTAGTATGCAAAATATAACATGTTTTCTATGGAAGGTTTTGAGGTCTGATTTAGTCATAGGATTTAACTTGTAACTATTATCATTATTATTATTATTAGTTTATTTGATATGGACATATCAACTGCATTGGACAAACCAGATACATTGTTTCCAGTGTTATAGCAAAACTGCTAATTTGCAACACCTGTCACATGTCATTATATGGACAATGTGATGAGATTAACAGTACCTTTTCATAAAAGGAAACACATACATTAAATACAAAAACAAACTTACAAGACAACAAGGATATTTATGAGAAATGTATGGCGAAAAAGTATGCTAAAACAATGACTTAATGATCATTTATTATTATCATTTGTCATGTCTGATAGTTTAGAGCTCTTGTGCATTAGCTAATTACACCTAATGTTGTATATACTGCACCTTAAACAAAATTCCATAATTCTACCTTCCAAGTATAACTGTAGGATGTAATTGGAAGGTTTGGCTGAAGACATATACAAAGTGAAAACCTCCCTCCATCCACTCCATGGGTTAATGTTCCATACTATTCACGACAAAACTGGGATTGAATGAGATGAAATGAACGAGAGGGTGGCAGTAAACGGAGGCTTTCCAAACACAAATAGAAGAGGATGTTGACATGGTCGTTGCCATAACAATGACCTGATGTTGTATTTGTCCAAAACGGAACGTGCTGTGATAATGATGAAGTACTACGCCTGGTACTTTATTACATCATTTATACAAAGTAGAGTCTTAAATCTGCTCGTAAAACGTTTTTTTCTGTTTACTCCAAAACTGAAAATTCCACATAAAGACCATATATTCCTATTTCCAAACTCCCATGTGCCCACTGACCACAAGTGTTAATAAATAACTGAAAATAAATGTGGTAGATATTTGTATTTTTGTCAATCCTTCTGTAAAAAAATATAGTTATGGATCCTGCATGTGCCCTTAATAAAGTCTAAATGAATAAATAATTAAGAGTATAATATATTAAGTATTTTAAAGAGAGTGATTATGCTACATTTACTTCTTTTTAGCTTTTTAACCACGTCACAGACCTGGAGTTGTTTTAAGCTCCATCCGCGCTCCAGTCTCAGTCCTGTGATAGTATGATGTCATTGTATAACTATAACATCACACTCAGAACAATGTGCTGTCATTTAAAACAAACGTATTGTTTTATTTGACACTTTCGTTTTAGAATTTTCTCAAGTTGAATTAGAATTTGAAAAACACAATAAATAAACTCCTCCCTCTGGTGGCAGCTTAGGGAGTTACAGGCAAAAACATGTCTTTACCCTTCATACTTCTAAAACATAAAATGGTAAAGAAAATAGTCTTATTTCCATAACAGCCAATAATAATATGCAAATAACATATACATAATAATAATGATCTATCTTTATTATAAGCCTGCAAAGACCAACAATAACCACACTTGAATGGTTATGTTTTTACTAGAATGAAGACAGTATGTTGTGAGCTCTTGAAATAAGTGCAGTGACCTGTTTATTCAATCAGCAAATGTTTTTAGTCATTCAAGCAAAAATAACCCTTTAGGCGCCAGAGATGACAAAGCCCTGCAACTTTACGAGATGTACTCAAATCAGTATCAACAACAAATGCAAGGATAAGAAATGATTGTGGGAAACCAGGTCGCTGTATAGAAAGAGTCCTGGCTTCTGCTGTCGCCTATATCCAGTGCTGTTTTCTCTATTTTTCCCCTAGTTTTTTTGCAAATCACTTCTTATACACGCACAATATTTCATCTCATACCTGTTTTCCTCCACTGTTTTCCTCTTCGCCGTGTCCCAGTCCGGCAAAGTGCTCACGCAAAGCATAACCATAGAAATAATGACAAAAATCACAGAGATCGACGCCAAAATCTGCGCCACCCAAGACGAATTGGGCTCTTCGAATGTTTTGCGCATCAGTTCCAACCATTTGGCGCGACCCGTGAGCGCAATGGTCGCCTCCTCCGGACCCTGCGTCTCGTCGCCGGACTCAGACAAACTATCCAGTCCGATCTCTGACATACGGTCATCCAGGCGCTTCTGGCAACACACGTCCAGATGCGCGCTCTCCAGCCCCCAGTAGAGCATCTCGGAGTAGAACGACAGCTCGCACACACCGGGAACAAAGCGGAGTTTGCCCGAGCGGACGTAAAGCATGATGAAGACGAAAGCCTGTGCGTGACGGTCAAAGAAAAACTCGTTCCGATCCTGGTCGTAGTCATCGCAGAGCTCCAGGACTTCTTTCTCCGTGGCGCACGCGTGGAGACGACTCACGCGCCTCAGAGGGAAATCCTTGATCACTTCTCGGGTGAAGGCGTAACGGGTTCCCCCCACGTTCAGCACGCACACGCTCTTCCCGAACTTCATCCTTCAAAAACCTGTGGCTCAGCAAGAGTCTCTCCCCGCGCGTAAAGCCATCTCCGTCTGGTCCAGTTCTTGTCAACTCTGTAATCCAAGGGGGGCTGAAAGGGGGGGTCGCGTACTCAGGGGTGTGGTTCCAAAAACAGGGACTTGGGGGGCACTGGCTTCTCCACCGCGGATGTGAACTCCTCTGCCTCCCTGTGAAGTCTGTGAGGAGTGTGAGGAGGCTCCCAGTGAGTGCAGGGAGAGCCCGGCCCATCGTGATGTCACACACACGCGCACGTAACACATGCCACGCACGCGCAAGTGGAGAGGAAGCCTGGAGGAGAGATGCGCTTTTTACGCACGACGCTGTTCCAGACTGGATTTCCCGTGGATCCGCCTGTTTATCATACGCTTGCCTCAGTTATAAAATTGCCACTCAGTTATTGCAGAGTTTAGCATAAAGTGAAATATTTGGGCTTCACTGGAACTCCCAGAGCAGTCAATTAGACGGCTTTTCGTACATTTTTGCTCTTCCTCAAGTTGTGAATTTTTCTGTATCTAAATCTAAACCCTGAACCAGAATATTTATCAAAAATGAAATTGGACATATCATGCAAAATCTACGACTAATTGTGTTCAAAAACAGACTTGCACGCGCCTTTCTGTGTGAAGTTTGCATGTTCTCCCCATGTACAGTAGGTTTCCTCTGGGTGAAAGGCGCTATATAAATAAAGATTACTTACATGCATTTTCTTCTTCTTTAAGGGAGGAATAACATTGTAAAACAGCATTCAGGACCTCCTCTGCTCCTGACTCCTCCTGACTCCTGCGGACTGCTGCTGACCACTGCTGACAACAAGAAACAAACCATGAATTATAGGCATAAAAACAAATGGAAAGATCTTCACCAGGTCGTAAACAAGACTAAATTAGGGATTATTTTAAATAGGATTAAGATTAAGAGTCTGACTTTAGCATAATAAGGACCATGTATAATATGTTGTATATTCAGGTGAAAGTAATATACAGTAGTTGAATGTGGACGTCTCTGAATGTTGGCTGGGAAGAAAACCCATAAAGTCCATTATATGCCTTACTCAGCACATTTTTCCCCAATTATAAATAAACAATTTACCAGAAAATGCACTTAAAAATGTTTTTTTTTTTTTAAATGTTTACTTTTTCTGCATTAGTATTGGTCCTTAAATATAATGTTGCAAATGTCTGAAATGTTTGTGTGTTTTTAATCTGCTCATTTTTACAAAGCCCGAAGAATTGTAATTGGACATTCTACTAACAATTAATTTTCTTTTTATGAATTCATGTAATTATCTTGGTTTGGGAGGGCTTGGGGCCAGGGCTAATGGGTTCAGCACATTCATCTACTGGTGTCATTGATAATTACAAACTCTCCAGGCAAGGTATTTAAAAAAAATATTCAGACAAGCACAACGTGTGATCACAATTTCACCACAGAATTGCTCTGAATAAAGAGAACATAAGGGAACTGGTTTAAAAATGTAGATACTGTGTGATGATGGCTGCAGGTCTGCACAACAGATGGTTCTTGGGGAGGGTCTGTTGTGGTTGTAAATTCTTGGTATAAGGGTGGATGGATCTATAACTTGTGGCCGGGGTCACATCATGGCCACCAAGCAGTGTGATCAGGGGCCATATAGAAGGAGTGGACCAGTAGCAATAGCGTTTGCCTTTGTTTTGAAGAAGCCGATTAGATTCTTTGGGCAAGGCTGGAGCTAAATTCAGGGATAGCAACTACCTAGCAACCGACGATTCAGCAGGAGCCACACTGGCTTGGTTCCAAAGCCTGATTCAGAGATAGATGGCACCTGATGAGGGCCAAAGAGAGTAAAGGTAAAACTTTGTATATGAGCGCTTACCAAGATACTGTCCATTCCTTGGACAGTCCATGTCTGAGGCCCAGCTTGTCTATGTCAGATTTTTCACTATAGTTTAGTCCAACTTTGGTGTGTGTTTGGACTTTTATTGTATTGTACCTCTCGCTGAGCATTGGGAGTCAAACGCATTTTTTCTAATTTCACAATATATTTTTTTACTGTTACTGTCATGAACCAACTCAGCCTATAGAGCACAGGGACTGACCTCCTGCTGGGACTCTGGGAAGCAAAAGGACTAAACATTTCAGATTAATGCAGCTAAAATCTGGAACAATCTTCCTGAAAATGAGAGACAGGCTTCTTCTCTGACAATGTTCAAATCCAGGTTGAAAATAGTTCTGTTTAGCTGAGCATAACTGGGTTAAGGATTTTATCTTCACACTTTTTTATGTACTGTGATCATTTATCATTTTCAATTCCTGGTATGTTTTCTTCTATCTTACTTTGTTACGCATTTTGAGTATCCCTCATGTATGAACTGTGCTATAAACTTGCAATACATTTTGATCGACTATAGGATGCCATTGGCCAACTAATCGACTAAAAACGAACAAAGACTACCCCAAGACATGGCACACATACATGGCTCCACTTTTTTGTAAAGGTGTACAGGTATAGTAGATCCATGACAGGTGCACCATCCTCACGTGCCCTGTCGGTAGGTGCGCGTGCTCGTGATTGCGCGCTCCCGTCGCTCCCCCTGTGACGTCAGCAGTGAGAGCCGTACGTTTCTGGGGGTTGGATTCTTTTGGAGCCGAGTTCATCGAGCGGTGGCTGGAGGAGGGGGCGCCGTGTGCTGCCGCTGATCCACTCAAATACTCCCGCTTCGCCGGGTTCACCATTCAACACTTTTATCGCTTTTATTAATTTATTGTTGTTTATGGTAGACGCTCCGGGAAGGCAGTAATGGCGGCCAACATGTACCGGGTCGGAGGTAGGCTCTTGTCAAATGTGGATCTATTTTAACCATAGCAAACATGCACAATTCTTCAATACCTTTGCGATTAGCATTGTTGCATCGCGTTGTTTTGGCTGTGTCGTCTCCCCACACATGTGCATTACGCGTGTCACTGGGTTAGTTTTGCCCAAAAAAGTGAGAATTGCTAAATATTTGGGATTCAAAAATGGATCGGGCCTTGCGTTTTTGTCGTGGCCACAGTAGCTAGGTTTGCTAATCGCCCATAATGTAAACATTTTTCAGGATCGCTATTGTTCCGCTTTGAGACTGAGACCAACTTTGCATTTGATGAAGCGGGAGACTTTTCAGACTTCAACATGTGGTGCTAAATGTTGTTTGTGTGCAGCCATGTCCCAGCCTCAAGCTTGTCTTTTGTATTTGCTGTTCTGGCATCCAGCCATTAGACCGTATTTAGCTAATGTTAGCACCAGCCGTGAATACACTCATTATCATTTACAGCAGCTTCTTGTGCGCTCAAAATATACCTCTAGACAAAAGAAAAGCCATGCAAATCCACTCTATACCATCACAAAATGCGTATGTAGCCGCTATAACAGGTTAATTAACACATTGGGGTTGAATGGCTAGCTAGCTCGTTAGCAGTCTGCAGAAAACCATCAAATTATTGTCTTCATGGCGTCGTTGCGTCGCCAGCACTAAAACTTAACACCCACTGTTCTCTCACAATGCAGCTGCAGACCTGTGTTTGGGGCTGTAAATGAGCAGGAATTACACTGACTCTGCCCTGATAGCATCGACTGTCTCCCTGTAATTTCACTGCTGCTTGATGATATTACATTACAGGTATGCAGGTAATTGATCAGAGAAGAGGCAAACCTAGACTTTACTCCCAGAAGTACCCACTGCCTCCATGGCTTGCTCAATAACATTTGGGCATAAAAGTAAACCGTGTGTAGTGTTACTTTACATGCAGTATAGTGATGTTTGACTTATTGTATAATGATAATAAGTGTATTATTTTTGATGTCTTGAGATTGATCAATTAGTTGTTGTGTTGTGAAAGACCAGAGAATGGACTGTTATAAAAGTGTGTCGCAGATGATGCCAAACTAACAGCATTTAAGGTTTTTGTGGATAATACTGTTTAACCGAAATGCATAAAAACATTTTTTTTTATCAACAAACACAATATAGCAAGTTGGGATACCTTACTTTGGAAACCAAAACGTATACAAATACAATTTAAATACATGTATCTAACTCGTTCCTCGCTGTCAAAACAGGTTCTATTAGTAATTTTCATAGATCAGCTTTTTTTCCAGACAGAAAAGTGATGTTGTGCGGACCACCCTCACTCAGCCCAAATGGTCCAATAGTGACTCGCAAGGTTTTTTAAAACATTTTCTCTAAAAACAAATGTTCAAATGTTTTAGAATAATCACTTGCTGTTGTCTGATTAATTTACTGTAGTTTTACATAAATCTTTCTGCTAAACTTTCTGCTAAACTTCATTTAAAGTCTCGTACCCCAGCTTTGATGTACGTTTTCAGTATCATTTTAGCAATGGTCAATAAAAAAGCCAATGCATCATCCATATAACATATTACTATATTAGATCTGTTGCAGTTACTCAATCAAATTGTTTAAACTCTAATAGTATTTGCTTGTTTGAAACCGTTTCAAAAGTAGGCATTCAGAATATAATCTATGTGTAGGAGAATGGTAAATATTTCACAATTGAGTATACATGTTAGGACACCTGTTACATAATATTTAGAAGCTCCAGGAAGAATGAAATGCTGTCTGATGTAGCCAGAAAGTTCAGTTAGAGTAGAATATTTGTATATGGCAGTGATCTCTCCGCAGACCCTGTAAATTGATATAGTGCCGTTTGCCCTCAGGGAATATAAACGCCTTACAATAGGCTGGGTCCTGGTGTCTGTCCTGTTTATGTTGTACTATCCAGTTATAGTGGCGTTTTTCCAGTTTTACCAGTCTTCAAACTTAAGAAGAGCAACGACAATCGCCACCCACTTGTTTGTTCAGACATTTTGGCTTAGTTTTTCTGTCCTGTTAATGTCTTCTAGTCCAATTTTGGCTATGCCTTGTTGAATTAATCAATGAAATGCGTTTTGTGCAGTAGTCTTAGTATGTGCCGCTAGTCTAGTCATCATAGCTATGTTTTCAAAATGAATTGTTTAGAGTGGACAAACCATTTTGATGAAATGTCCTTGATTTAACAGACATATCGTATACATTACTGAACAACGTATAGAATTTTGCTCGAGGTAATTTCCCTTATGGATACATTTGAGATCAGACACTTTCATAAGTTTTAAGGCTGTGTTCATTCACATTTGTTGGTTTGGTTCACTTAAACTGGAGGGATTCTCATTCATTTTGGGTAAAATTGCTTAATTTGTATACGTAAAACCACCAAACGTGTCACTTTACAGCTTTTGAAACAGATCTGTGATTTATAATGAATTACTTTGAATCTTCCAGCCATAAATGTGACAAAAACAAAGTTATTTAAAAAAAAAAATCTGTGTCCTGATTTGTATTCTCAACAGATTCAGTAATAAACGTAGATTGCCGCCTTGTGCGAGTTCACGCCTCGCCGTGAGTGGGGGACTGCATGTGTCTGTCATTTACATTCATGACGCCTTGAGGAGTTTTATTGCTTCTTTGGCCCCACTACGTTGCACTGTGGACATCAAATAACCACTGCATGCAAATCTGAAAAGCAAATGAGTCTGATAAGTTTTATTTCATGCGTTTATTGAAATTCATAGTTGCCACCTGGTGAAGGTCGACCGGTGTATTTTTTTTAATTTTTTTTATGGCCAATGCTTTGATTCCCATAAAACTCATGGCTAATGTGCTATCAACCCTGTATGGACGTTGTAGGCATTTCCCCCCCAATTATTTTATCCAGTTTTTTTCAAAATGGCTAAATGCAATGGAATAAAAGATCAAGGTTGTCACATGTTGTGCTGTGTCCTCCACTTGCCGAGTCTCAAGCTTATCCTTGTGGTCATCAGCGATTGTCGGGCAAAGGGGTCAACTAAAATGTAAGACTGGTTTTCAAAATATATTCTTGAAGTTTTGGGGTAACTTCAGAAAGATATGGCAAATATACCTCATTCTGTACTACAATGCAGAATTGCCAGACGCTGTCAATGTTTAATACTCATATTTTGAACGCCGGCAATCAAACAACATCTCTCCATATGATAATTGTGTTTGTGGGAAAGTGCTTACTTCCTGTTGATTGGGCCCTTTTAAGAATCTGAAAAGGGCAAATGTCTGTAATTGTGAAGCCACTTTGCATCTTATCTGCTGGGATTGAGTTGCATCATTTTTGTTTTGATTTTTGAAAAGGAATTGATCTAAAGTGAACTCTGTCTGGTTATTGCTCTTTAGTGTTCATGCTGTTTTGTATCAAAAGACCCTCTTTCCCATGTATTTGGGGTTTGTTGTAAAAACATCTGCTTCACAGCGATAAGGTCCTGGGTTGGATTCCACCTCCCGGGCCTTTCTGTGTGAAGTTTGCGTGTTCTCACGTGTCTGTAGGTTTTCTCCGGGTGCTCCGGTTTAGTTGTTCCCCTACCACTTAAATGTGTACAATAGGTTTCAGCATGTGCCTCCTGTATGGCGACCTAGCTCCTTTCTCTGTGTGACGTGAGAAACAAATGCCCACAACAATTGTAAAGTGCTTTGTGACTGTCTGAAAAGCGGAATATAAATAAGGATTCCGTACTCAAATTAACGTGATGGAAATTATACTATGGTTAAAATCAGAGAAACTCAAAGTGCATCGTGGCTTACCATGAGGGTACATTTGACCTCTCTTGCAATGTCACTCAGGACCACTTTTGGGAGCTGTGGAGGATTTTACGTATTGTACGTTTTAGTGAGGGGGGGACACGGAGCACTCGGAGGAAACTTACACAGAAAAGGGGAGAACATGCAAACTCCACAAGATTCTGGTCTGACCAGAATTCTAAACCAGGACCTTCTTGCTGCTGACAAGTGAAAGTTGGTGGCAAAAGTTGTGAAAAGTGCTTCTAAACTAATTGCGGTAGGATGTGGGGAATCCGTTCAGACGCTGCATTCGTTTTAATGTGATGGTTATTCTTTGTCTGCACACGGCCATTTCTTTTCTTGCAGTGACAGGAAATTTTCATTGACCTCCATACATTTTCTTTTGCAGATTACGTCTTCTTCGAGAACTCCTCGAGTAACCCATACCTGATCCGTCGAATAGAGGAGCTCAATAAGGTACAATGCTGTATTTTTGTGTTATCTTGTTTATTGTAACCCCAAAACTGAATAACCACATATTGAAATGGGATAAGCTTTTTCCTATATACTCCGCTAAACACAATTGTATAATATACATTGTCAGTCTGGAGAGACAATTGGGGAAGATGGGTGGTATCGGGAGGGGGGTAGGGATAGCACACAAAAAAACTAGTCAGCTTGATTGTGTGTAAATAGATTTAAAAAAAGAAAAATGTGAAAAGCTATGATGAGAGATAGGGCTGCACGATATGGACAAAAAGTCATATCTCGATATTTTTGGGCTGAATGGCAATATACGATATATATCTCGATATTTTTCTTCCAGTGAATTAAAACCAATGAGCCATGTTCTTGGTCAAAACCACAAGTGACAAATGTCTCAAAGGCACTTTTATTAATGTTCAACTGCAGAACATGTGCATAAATTGCTTTCATTAAACAAAAAATATGTATTATTATTTTAAATCAAAATAAATTAGAAATAAATATTCCTTTACTGTGTAACAGTATAGTGCAAAATGCGAACAGAAAAGATACTGACAAAAATAACAGGTCAGCCTGCTTTAGGAAAGCTTCAATCTATGAAGGGAGACTGAGGGATGCTTCCTTCTCCTAAATGCAATTCAAGTACTTTGTGCAAATGTAAACAATCAAACAATATAACACAATGTAAACACGTTCTTGGAACAATTATTTAGCAACCATTAAACTTAAAACATGAAAAACAAGAGGTATTGGCCAGTAGTGTACATCTTACAGATTTTGTGCCAGAAAAATGAGCCTGTCTACACTTTCAGGCTTCAGGGATGCCCTGTGGCAGGTTACAATGTTACCACTGCAACTAAAAACCCTTTCTGAAGGGGAGCTGGTGGCTGGCACACAAAGGTACTTGTTGGCCAGGCGGCTCAGTGCTGGAAAAGCAACCTCATGGTCCTTCCACCATTTGAGTGGGTCAGCATCACTCTTTATGCAGATTGACTGCAGATAGGTTGACAGTTCATGTTCTATTGTCTCTCTCGGTGTGAGTTTGGTGCCGGTGGCACTACCAGTGCCAGGACTCTCTTTAAAGAAGCTTGCGAGTGATTTCTTTCTTTTTGGATTGGGTGGCACTGCCACAGCTGCTCCTTCTTGTTCTGTTGGGTCATTCAGCTCGCGCACACATTCATGCAGCAAAGACTGAGTCTCCAAAATACCTCTGCGTTCCATTTTGTCACATGAGATGTATTTGGCCTTGAATCTTGGATCTAGAAGAGAGGCTATATCCAACAGGTCACTGGTAGTTGGGTCTGCATATTTGTTATTGAGGTAATCCACAACTTTGGTCTTGATGGACTTACACAGCTCACTATCCCCTTCTTCAGATGCCATGAGATGATTGTTGAACAGGTGAAGTACAGGTCTGACATACGACAGGGTCACTTAGTCCTCTCCTGAGAGGGCGTCTGTAAAGTCCTGAAGAGGTTTTAGAGCTTTCTGAATGGCCTCCAGGACCTCTATGTCCTGCCAGGTAAGGACTAGAGGTCTAGTTTTCTTGTCAGTGGACAGGACTTTAGCCAGTGCTCTTTCTTGCTCCAGGACCCTCTCTATCATTACCAACCTCGATCCCCAGCGTGTGGCAGACTCTGTGATCAATTGGTGACCTGGCAGACCAAGTTGCAGTTGTACTTCACCCAGTTCTCTTTTTTTCCAGCTGTATGAAAAGCTGCTCACGATCCTCTTGCACAGACCAATAGCACGGGTGATACGGGCATCATTCATGGCATGTCCTGTATGACAAATTGAATAACACATTCTAAAATCACTTTAATTTATTTGAGACACAGAGCTCCCTCAAATACAAATTGAAAGCTATTTACATTAAATAGGAGTGTAATGTTTATATGTGCATGACACTGTGTAAACTACAAACGGTGTGTTAAACTAAACTAAATTAGTAAAACAAGTTCAATTGTTGAATTTGTGCAATCTAAAACAGGATCTGAAATTTAGACCAGGCATTCAGATACATCTTCACCATTTTAACCTGGATTTATTTTCACCACCATACTTAAAATGTATTAGACTGAATTTAGATTAATTTGAACCTGATTCAAAAAAAGGAAAAAAAAAAGTCAGAACACAGGCGTTGTTGCATGAATTTGCCAGTTTTGGGATCACCCTACATGAATGAATAATTCAGTATTGCACTTACCAATGGCCAGATGAAGTCTGTGACCATCCTTAGCCACTTGTTGAGTTGCACCGCTTTAACAACATTTGCACCGTTGTCAGTAGTTACGGCCACCAGTTTTTCCGGGTTGAGCTTCCAGCTAGAGAGGACGTCTTGCAGAGCCTCTGCTATATGCTCCCCGGTATGGTCCTGAGGAAAGTAGCTCGTCTGGAGACACGCTGATTTCATATTCCAGTCCTCCACAAAATGTATCGTTACACACATGTATGGTTCACAGGTCCGGCTGGACCACATGTCCGATGTTAGTGCAAAATGTGACACTTTGGCGAGTCGGGCGTCCATGCCGGCTCGTACTTCTTTATACATGTTTGGTAACACTTCGTTTTTCAAAATAATTTCGTCCAGGTACCTGGTATCTGGGTTCCACAATTTTAAACATCTGAATAAAGCCAGTCTGTTCCACTGTACTAATCGGAGCCATATCCTTAGCGATGTGGAAAGCTATTGCATTCGTGATGTCACGCCACTTCTTACTTGTTTTATCAAAAGTGGCAGTGCGAGCGAGTGTGTTCTCCAGCGTGACTTGTTTTGCTTTCGGGTTAGAAGAATGGTCTGAGTTTATCTTTGGCCTTGCAGCGCGCAGTCGAAGGCACTGTTCATATTCAACTTTATGTCGCTGTTGTAAGTGATGAAACAGATTCGTCGTGCTTGAACCTTTTGCCGGAATGGATTTTCGGCATTGTCTGCAGAATACATGTTTCTGCTCCACATCTGCAACCTGGAATCCAAACCACCGCCATATGAGTGATCCATTGTTCCTTTTTTTGGAAATCAGCTCCTCTTCCACAACTTCTATCGAGTCAGAGGCAGATTCCATTGTTGTTTATGTTGTGCTGCTGTGCTGAGCGCGCGGGAAGGGGAGGGCTAATTTCCGGGAGGGATGAACGCGACCGTCTTCTTCTACGTTTTTCATCTGTTTGCGACCGCGGAAATTGACACACGTATATCGTTATTATCGATATTGCCTTATTATCTATAGTGCGGCACAAAAATCTCAATATAACGATAATATCGATATATTGTGCAGCCCTAATGAGAGATGCTTTTTGTCTGGACTGTTGTTTGGATTCTTTGCTCTACAACATTTTCTACTAGCCTTAATGCACAAATTATGAGAGTGCATTATTGATGATGACTGATGATTGGTGATAAATGAGTTAACCAGTTGCGTTCCTGAAGTTAATGGGAGAGTGCTTTGTGGATTTCCCCCCAAACATGTGAGTCACTGCATTTCTCAGTCACGGAAAGTAATTACAAAGCTCTTCCATCAATCATGTGATCAATTGGACAGCTGCGGCGCTGTTCACGCCATCACAACACTGTAGTTTGATGACAGTTCAAAGCAGGAAGGTTCTTGTGACACAGAATGCATAAAAAGGGCTTTTAACAGTATTGACTGAGGCACCCTCAGTGCAAGGAGTGCTACCGCAGGGCCTTTATCCCCACCACTGTCAAACTGTGCAATAAGTCACTTTAAGTCACTTGCACTAGGACAAAAAACCTGCACTACTGCCACTGTCTCTTTAATTGCCACTCTTTTATTTTATTGTACTTAATATATCCTGAAAAGATACTTTTTTGCCTTTAGCATGTTTGCACACTTCTTTCTTTTGCACAAATCTTGAGTGATTCTATCCATGTCAAATGTGACATGTAAATTTCTCCTGTGTGAGATCAATAAAGTCTATCATCTTTTAACATTGTACTAAGCAGTGTGTTTAAATGGTCTGATTAAAGCCCTGAGACGCTGCGACAGTAAATTGTTAGAGTTGGGAATCAGTTTGGCCTTCTGTTTACATTAAGACAGTGTTTCAGGGTGAAAATCAAAGCGTTTATAAACCGCCTCCAGAGTGGAATAGAACACATACGCTGCGTGAAGAAAAAGCGGTGAACTTCGGCACTTCCCCGCACAACAATGGCGGCGGGTACACTAATGCTAACCTGTGCTTTGTGCGCTACACGGAGGAGAATTTACTCCTTGTTTGTCCAAACCAAACCACTCAAAGTTTTCATTTTGTTTTTGCTAATTCCTTTGCAGTGTCTCCGTCTAAACGGGGCCTAAGATAAGATAAACCATTATTGACCTCACAGCGGGAGTCGACTGCAGACATGGACTCCCTCTGATGTCTGCTGTCGTTGTGTCCTTGGTCAAGACACTTAACCCTACTTGGCCTGAAGCCCCAGCTGAAATATCAAGGCTGTGTCATCACTGACAGAGCAGCCATCCTCCTGTGGACTCACCGCCTGCAGGAGGATCATGAGGGGCTGGTGTTCTGTGAATTGGGTGGCAGCTGATCGTCAACCCCTGACCCAGAAATGGATTAAGGGGAAGAAGATGGAAGGATGATCTCACAGTGGAGAAATTAACAATGGACTAAACTAACCCAACCGGACTCAGCTTTTCCCACAAACCGGTCTGACCAGCCTGGTGTCGGTATACAATCATTTTAATTTTGTCGTGCATTTAAATGAAAACCATGTTTCCTTCATTTAAAAAAACGCTTTTCAGTTTAAGCAAAACTAAAACATAAGGGTCTAACAATGAATCAATTTATTGCAACTATTTTCCCTTTTTTCAATCAAACAGTCACACATTTTTTTAATCAATCGCTAGGTCCTGTGAACATCCTTTGCTATTAAATGAGATTTTAAGACTCAAAGTAGGAATTGTATACACAAGAATCAGTAATGTCTATATGTCTTACACAACAATTGTAAAGTGCTTTGTGACCGTCTGTGAAATAAAGATAAGATCGACTTTATTGATCTCTCACAGGAGAAATTACATGTCGTACATACATACAACAACGTACAACAAACATACATACATCTGGCAAACATACATACATCTGGCATGGATAGAATCACTCAAGATTTGTGCAAAATAAAGATTACTTGCATGATTTTTCTGATTTAAAAAAACAAGTCTCTCCAGTGCCTTCTGGAACGTAATTTAAATTGTACAAGGCATTAAGTCAGAGTATATTGAAAAGAGTGAAGATTTAATCCTTGCAACAAGATATAAATACAATTTATTTTATTTGTTTTGTGTTTGGAGTTTTTTACTGACAATAGAGCAAATTATTATGGTTGTTGTCAATGACTGCATTTGTTATTGTTATTATTTGTCATATTTATTTAAATTTGTTGTTGCTTCTTTTTTGCAGACGGCCAGTGGAAATGTTGAGGCCAAAGTTGTATGTTTCTACAGACGGAGGGACATCTCACACAGTCTCATTCAGCTGGCAGACAAGCACGCAAGTGAGTATTCTGACTGCAAATCAATTGTAACAGCGAGGTGCAAAGAAGTCTAGGTTGACCCGTCACAATAACAAATTTTGCTGGACGATTAATTGTCTCAAACTATTGCGATAAGCGATAATATTGTCGTTCTGAGATCATTTTCATCTAATACAATGATAATGATGCAGGTACACTTTTTCAAAGAGAAATAAAAATTTATTTTTAAAGACCACCGCCGGAAGTGGCGGTAGTAGCGGGCAGGCTTTGATGCTAACAGAGTTAAGTTAGCGACTTTTTGTGTAAAGTTCTTCGCCAAGAATGCAGCTCTGCAGCGTCTCTTTGTCCAGAGGCCTTCCAGAGACTTTATATAACAGTAGTATGTGTTCACGGAGGTGCGCCATAAGTTTATTTTATTATTAAATGGTACTTCCGCATTGGAGAACACGCTAACGCTAGCTGCGCTAGTTTAGTCCATAGACTGTATATAATAACGGAGAGTCACACCTATCTCCGCCGTGCATAGGAGTTGGCCATGAAAAGTGCTTTCATGGAGCAATCCAAGATGGCCGCGAGTGGTCCCGCCCACAAGAAAATTGTGAAAAAACGCATCTGCGCATGCGTCAGCCGGCGCAGCTCCATTCATTTGAACAAGAGACTTCAAAAATTCACAGCAAGTAAACTAGAGTGGACCAAAAAAATTCACCCCCCTCAGCATTGACACACATGTGGAACGGAGCTTTGGGCCAAGAGTCAACTTTTGGTCCATCCTGTAAAGACGTTTTTGAGAGGTCTGCCAATGCTATGTTAGCATTGGCTAATTCTTCTTCTGGGTCCACCCCCATCGGCCCGGGGTGGTATTGCAGCATGTCAGCGCACGTCATTTTGGCCACTTTTGAGCTGTGACCCGCCCCCACTGGTTTAGTCACTACTAGAGTATGAATGAGCTCAGGCTGGCATATCTTCCCAACTACTGTGTTCTCTCTCTCTCTGTCGCTGTCTCTGTGTCTGTCTCTCTCTCTCTCTCTCTCTCTCTCAGATCAATACAGACAATTGCGGCGAGAAAAATCATTGAGTTAATTATCATGCAATTAATAGATTTTTTGAATATCGCAACAGGCCTAGCTCAGAGTTGAAGCAAAGTTATTTTTCTCCTGAGTAATATACGTGTTATGGCTGGAAGCAAATCAATCCAATCCAACACAATTTATTGTATATATGCCTGTGTTCCCAAACCTTTTTGACTCATGGCACACCTTTCTCATTGAAAATAATCTTTGGAATGCCACCAAACCGATACAAAAATTTAACTTTGCAGCCTTTATTAGCAAAGCCATGTCTTTCTCATCATAGTAGTTTATACATAAAATCGAAAGAGCCCAAAAACTTCTTTCTAATACTCATTTCTCTACTCTACTCATTTCTTGTTTATTTTTTGCCAATGAGGTGATATTGGATTATTGCCAAAGGCACACCAAAATACAGCTCAAGGCACTCTGGGTTAAAAAACACTGGACTGTGCGGTCTACTAGTCCGTTTCCATGTGGTCATGAGAAGTTTGACTCACACTTTTATATGTCAGTAATTATCCACAGATTGACATTTCCAGGCAACATATGGAAACGATAACTTCAGTTTCCGCCGTAATCGTCTGTATTGATCACTTGATGAAATGTGTAATCTATGGAAGCCCATTGAAAGCAAGAGGTGAGAGGTCTAAACAAGTGCAATATAAAAGTCGACTTGTCAATATTGGGTACAAACATGTGAGTCAAGGGGTCAACCAACAGCTGGTGTTCTGCCTTGTCGCTTCCATAGTTGAGTATTAATCGTCACCAGCATTGATTTATTGAATGCTTGTGTTGAACTAAGCTATTCTCCTATGCCGACTTTCCAATGCATAATTTTATCATCTTAACAGCTATTCCTTACACAACACGATAAGAACTCCCTATAATATTGTCCGCACTTACCTTTCGACTGTTCATTTAGTTTTCCCTTTTTATGCTACAGTCTCTTTCTGTGAGGCTACGTCACTTTATAATATCATAATTTGTCTTCATTCTACGTACGTGTTGATTGTTGTTGACGACTGGGCTTCGCTGACTGCCTGCGCAACACATTGGAGGGCATGAGGACAAAACTGATTATATCTTGTGAAGGAAGACGACCTGACCTATTTCAAATCCTTGTTGTTCTGCAAATTCTGTCGCCTGTTCAATAAGGAGATATCTACAACTGATCAACATGGTAGACTTTCTACTGCTGAGGCTATGAATACATTATACCATGATGGCTTGGCTTGTTGTTTCTGTTGCTAATAGCATACATTGGTTTGAGATGGTTACCGTTTTGCCCAGAGGCTCATAAAACCCTACAAAAGAACCAGGGATGCATTTATTAACCTTGCTTTATTTAAGCTGTAATTGCATGTACATGACAAATGACAGGCTGACTTTAGTTGTGCTAATGACACCGTCGACCCATGAGATCCTCAGACAGACTAGAAGACTGGGTGGGTGTCCTTGTTGATAACCTGAGCTGGTTTCGGAGATAGGATGTTGTCTCAGATCAGATGGCCCTAACCTGCTCAGTGGCACAGGGTTCAATCTTTGGACCTCTTCTGTTTGATCTACATGCTGCAGTTGGGTCATGTGGTTATTGCGTATGAACTGACCTACCAGAACTGTGCAGATGAAACCTGGATCCGTCTCACTGACTACAGGAGAGAACATGGACCTGTGGACTCATTCCTTCACTGCAGCCAATAGATCAGTGAGCTAAACTAAATTTCCTTCTGTCTATAAACATTAAGAGAGCTCTGTATCCGTCACCTCTAGTATCTCCCTACAAATCCACACATCAGAAATCTAGTTGTAATAACCGACCCAGACTTAAATTTTAGTAGCCTCACCAAAGAAAAAAAATGAACACTACCAGAACGAGAAAAGCATTCAAACCCTACATCCAGGTGTGAGTCCTGATCACTTCCAAAATGTAATCGTTTGTTGGCGAAGTCAAAACACACATTTCAAAACTCATAAAGCCATTCATTGTGATTTATATGTTCACATTATCTGGTTGTGATCCGAGCAGGTGGCTGATTCTCCGCCAGAAATGTGATGTGATTTCATGATGCACCATTGATGCAACTGTGGTCTCATTCTGTTTTTATCATTCCAGTTATTCCTCCGTACTCGCCAAATGCTTCCACATGAACATTTGTGATTGAAATGCATAAACGCTGCTTTTATCTCAATCTCTCTCTCCTCTCAAAATGGCAAGAATCAAACGATGACTGGATCAATAAAGCCTCAAAAATAATCTTTTGCTCTTACAAATGTCAAGAAAGAACACATTTTTCAAGCACCGGTCTCGCTCTCCGGTCTCGCTCTCCGGTCTCGCTCTCCGGTCTCGCTCTCCGGTCTCGCTCTCGGTCGCTCTCCGGTCTCGCTCTCCGGTCTCGCTCTCCGGTCTCGCTCTCCGGTCTCGCTCTCCGGTCTCGCTCTCCGGTCTCGCTCTCCGGTCTCGCTCTCCGGTCTCGCTCTCCGGTCTCGCTCTCCGGCCTCGCTCTCCGGCCTCGCTCTCCGGCCTCGCTCTCCGGCCTCGCTCTCGGGCCTCTAGTCAGGAAGGCTAATCTCAATAAGACATTACTAATTTTATGACCTGTTCCTCATTCTGTTAAATTGTTGACTGTTGATTATTCCAAAATCCAGGATGTACAGATGTAGTTTGTGTGTGCATTTGTTTCCACTGTTCTGTCCTATTTTATTAGTGATATGAAAAGTTGATTGTATTGAGTTTGGGGGTGGGGGGTGTTCGTATTCTGCTATTTTCAGCTCACTCCTATTGAGCAGAAGCAATACTGTTCAAATAATTTTCAAGGTTGAGAGTAAAATGCAGGAAAATCCTCTTTTTTTTCATCCAATCTCATACAAGCATTGATTCAACATAGAGCTGGTCCTTGGTTAAGATTTAACGGTAGACTAACGGACGCCTCGGGACACGGACAAATCCAGGCCTGGACCTTGTATGGATCAATGGTGTCGGATCACGAAAGATGGACTTGTTTAGTGTGAGGCGTCGACTGGGTGCAATGCAGAATGTTTAAAGGAAAGTCATTGGGATTCAAAGCAACAGCTGCGGAGTACTGGCGCTGCAGGACAATTACTTCATCAGGACAAGAGCAGTTTCCACCACTGCAGACAATACCTGTAACATGTGTGAGAATTGTTAGATGACAAGCCACAACCAAGCTTTCTTATCTTGCGGAGTGAAATTTTAAACTACAAATCAATCAGAATAATTTCAAAACTTGTACAAAGCAATTCACAAGGCAACTCAAAGTCCAGTTATCATCTTTTAAAAGGGAGTGTGGCTACAATCCAAGTTGTGTGCACTGATAAACAGAACTGTGTTAACCTGGATTTGAACATTGTCAGAGCAGAAGCCTGTCTCACATTTTCAGGACTCTTTCTGATGACAACTCTAAAATTGAAAAAATCTGGAGCTGTGGGGCGACAGTAGCTCAGTTGGTAGAGCATTGGCCTTTAGGCCTGAAGGTTGTGGGTTCAATTCCCACCTCTACACCTTCTCCACCGACTCCCACTGATGATTGCTGTCGTTGTGTCCTTGGGCAAGACACTTAACCCCACTTTGCCCAAAAAGCCCCCACTGAAAGATCAAGGCTATGCTCACACTCAGAGAGCAGCCGTCCTCCTGTGGACTCACCACCTGCAGAGGGTCAGTGAGGGGCTGGTGCTATGAGACTTGGGTGGCATCTCTGACTGCCACCCCCCTGACCCAGAAATGGATTAAAGGGTAGAAAATGGATGGATGGATGGAGCTGTAGAGAACTTCAGTGTGAAGGGCTTTCGTCTCCTACATAGTTGAAATGATTGTAAATATTGAGCTAACATGACTAAAGAAATCAGGATTGCACTGACAATATTGAATCGTAAAGCTGGGGTCTGCAACTTTAAAACCACAGAAACATGGAAATATGGAATGAAATTTACTACACATGTCACTCCACCGAAGCGAGTCAACCAGTTTTTTTTGTTTTTAATCAGATCCCCATTAGCTACTGAAAGAGACGGTAGCTATTCTTCCTGGGGTCTATATACTTCATGTCACATAATATAACGTACAAAGGACAAAAATTAATGTACAAAAACAAAATTATATATATACATACACATATATATACACACCACACATGTACACCATACATACACATATATACACATACATACATACACACATACATAC